AGAGCAAGAAGGTTTGGTGCAGGATCTGCAATCCTATCTGCTAAGTGTTTCAGTACAGAAGTGCTGAAAGACCTGGACATTCATTCCTTGATTACAGGACACCTTAATGTTGGTACAATCAGTTTCTGGCCTTGTTCACCTCCTGTATAAACAGGTGCAGAAATGGACATGAAGAAGGAAAAGCAATTAACAAGAAAAGACAAAATAAAACAGTTATGCCATGCCTTAGATCTATTACAATTCTTTTTACTGCTGTCACTCCAATCCTTTTGTCTTAGTTTAGCTTTTAAGCTACTGACACAAAAAAGATCCAAAAAAAGGTGACATTTTTTGGACCACAGTAGGTTCACTTACACCATTTAAGAGCTGGGCTCAAGAAGTCCAGTCACTGTTTATGCCTCTACTGGCCTTGGTCCATTGGCTTTACTGATTACTAAATCTTTTTTGTTGAAGACAAAGAACTCTACATGACTGCAGTGCTACTTTGACCCTTGGAAGCTCTTCCAGGACTACAAGAGTACAGAGCAAAACAAAAAAGTAAAAGCTACCTTGATGTTAGCGCTAAATACAGAGAGCTATCTTTGTTGAAGGCCACTGTAATGCTTTGGACTGCACATACAAAAAAGCCATAGATACACAAAACAATTTCAAACACATGATGAAATTTGCCATCTTACCCACTTTGGTTCTCAATCAGTAACTTTGTTAAACTGTGTGGTTTACCAGAGAATTTCCAGAGAATCATCTGACCTGCATAACTGCCACTAGCTGTACCCATAAAGAGCCATTTCTAAAGCTGTATTAAATTGATGAGCTTTTCCCAGATAGGTGGAAGTTGGATAATGGAGCTTAATCACAAAGTTCCTAGCAGGAAGTCTGCAGCACAGCTGCAAAGAGTATGCCAAGGGTCCTGGCACCTAACTGCAGCAGGCCAGATCACCAAAACTCCCCCAGCTGAAAGCCATCTAATTAGTGAGATGTCAATCACAAAGTAGGACATAAAGTTAATTTCAAGACTTAGTGGACACCAGCCAATTATCTGTAGAAAATCATGTGATTCATTCTCAGAATTGGAATTAAAAAAATGCTGGATAAAAAAATAAATCAGTCATCTTATCTGAAGGACTGTTTTTCTCAGTGTACCCAAAGGCATCTGCTGACTCCCACAGGTAGCCTCAGTGCAAGATCTCTTTCTCTTGAGAGTGAGGGAACCATTCCACATTTGTAATTGTCTTTTAGCAGAAATCAAAATTTAGATTATTTCTCTAGAAGACTGTTTCTCAGTTACATCATTTTCAACTTTTGTTTTCATGTTGCTTGTTTTTCAAGCTGAATTTATCATTTGCGATCTATCTTATAGCCTTCCATAGTCAATCAAATCTGTGAATGTGTTTGTATTCTTCAATATTTCCCACGGAGTTTAAATGGTTTTAGTTGGTATGGAACAAACACACAACGCTAACTGATATAAACCCTCATGGCCTTTTGCCAAAACATATGTTGTTGCTGTCGTCCTGTTTTGGTTAACTATTTCTTCCATTACATCTAGCAGAAAGAACAAGACAGGCTACATTTGCTGAGAAGCAATTTTATCATATATCAGTCCAATGCAGTGGCTCTGCTTCCTCAGCTAGGACTGTTGGGATTGTCACCTCAACCAGCCTTGTTCCATCTGCCCACCTGTGCAAGAGTCATCATAGTCACTCCACTGCAGCCAGGATGTCTTGAGAAAACAGTCCTGCTGAACAAGTCTAATCTCCTTGGTCACAGATTTCTAATGATAATTAAAACACGTCCATTAAAAAAAAAAAAAAAAAAAAAGAACATACAAAATGCACAAAATGGACACTTAGGAAGTGTAAGGTGTTATAAATATAGACGCTGGTATTAACACAACGTGTTATATTCTGAAAAGAGAAGCATAGCAAACACACTTTTGAAAGAAAACAAAACTTTCGCATTTATCCACTGATGTTTCTAAGATATTTGTGCTCAGTCCAGCTCCTGTCAGCTTATCACAAGCTGCATATTTTTATTGCAATCTCCTGCACAGCATCACTCCAGCTCATCTGGTATTTGTTATGTGAAAACAAGATGGATTTCACTAATTTGCTTTGCCCCTATTCTGCAACAATCCCAGTATGTAGAACTCCCTTTCTTTCTGTTACATTGATAGGACAGTGGTGGTAAGTCAGTTTCAACATCTCAGTCACGCACCATCTCCTCTGTGTCAGTCCCTATGTTGTTCACTGGGATGCTTTATGTCTTGTCCACCAAATATCACAGCACTGAAAGGAGAAAGGTCAGATGGCCTTATTAGTAGTGCTCTATTTTGAAAAATCTCCCAGTAATGAATATGGGGCCTCTAGGACTTCCTGGTGATTATGAATGGCTGAAATGGCTGAGGCAGGTGAACTAACCTGATTCTGGAGTAATTAATTTATTTTCATTATTACAGCTCAAGGTACATGCAGGTGCACATTGTAATTTCAGTATGGTTTTCTCATCACCAAGGGCAGAAAAGAGCACAAAATCTAAACAATGCAATTATTTGCTTTTTAAATGGAAAATAAAGACTTTTCAAGACCAGATAACATATCTGGTTTTTAGCAAATCTTCATATGAACAAAAAATATATATCAACGATACTCTCCAAATAAATGGCTGGGCATTTAAGCTAAATCTTGTTTGGCACAGTGCAGGTGGGAACTCCAGATGGACGAAAGCCTGGGGGGAAAGGCATGTCGGCCTACAGAGTGATTGTTAATAGTGAACTGAGATTTTATATTTTCTCCCTCCACTCTGCATCTTTATCACTGAATTCTACCCTCTCCTTTCCACATAGGGGTCACATAATTTCACCTGTATTTCAATGGTTGATTAAACCAACTAAGAAATTAACTATTTGTCCTCCCGATCTCCTAGGGTAGGTCTCATTGCTAGGCCTCTGCAGTAAATCAGCTCTGCAAAATGTTCTTGTTCCACAGCTGTTAGGACTAAAACTGTTGAACTATATATGTATTCTTCCAATTATTCAGATTATACATTCTGATTACTGAAAGCAGGAATTTTACAAAAGCAGAAAATTTCTATCACTACATGGTTACAGGACTTCACACAGACCCACATACATACACACATTCTTTACCATAAGACTACTAATTCCGTATTTTAACACTGTGAACCAGACTGAAGTCCAGACATTGAGTCTACTTTCTGTTTGCTGTTACGTGTTACTTATACAGCAAAATGGTCGACAGGAGAGGAGAAACACTTTAAAGTGTTCTGACAATCTCTGTCAAGAAGATCCCATAGGCACAGACAAATGTTTCTTTTTTTCCTCCCAGGTCTTGCAGCTTAAAGTACCGAAGGGTTCATTGCTGTTCCCCTTCCTATTCAAAACCCATATGAAACCACTAGAGGATATTGTGAAATGGCATAGGCTACAATGTCTTCAATATCCTGATGACACCAAGCTCTGTGTCTCCTTTTCATTGAAGCCATATGTTACAGCTTCCTTGTGTCTAGCAGAGATAAGACATGGATGAAAGCCAGTTGGCTAGAGCTTTCTATAGATAAGATGAAGGTAATGTATGGGCCTGGCAAGGAAAATGGTTTTAAGTTGACAAAAATCTGCTTTCAAAGTTGAGGGAGATTCCCATTGTCAAAATACACAGGGGATTTACTGCCTCCTATCTTCTCTTGGATTCCCAGCTACAGAAGTGGCCCAAATCCCTTTGTCTCTTGCTTAACTTTACTCACTGGGTCCAGCTGACCAGTTTGTGTATTCAGAAAGTTGTCAGGCATACAAGGTCAACAAAGGCCCTGCTTCGTCTGTGTCATTACTTCCATATGTTTCCTGGCCTATTCATAAAGATGTTCAGTGACAAAGGCGCTACCCCTTCCCGACCTACTGCACTACACCATGGAATTCCAAAGGAATACTGAGTATTTCCTAATGATTAACAGACATCTTTCTTACTGCAACTGAAGCCTATTGGTACTCACTTTTCCCCAAGAATTTAAGAAGGGATTGTTTTCTTTTTCTTCATGTAGCTGAAGACCTCTTGCTTAGGTTAGACAACCGCAGATCATTCAATCTTACCTCACAGATCATTTTTTTAGATCCCTGATTATTCCTTTTGCTTTCTTCTCCAGCTGGACTATATTTCTTGAAATGCAAGCTCCAAAACTAGGTAATATTAAATCAAGTTACTTTTTAAGCTTCTGTTAGAAATAGGTAGGCAACAGCACTGTCTCTGCTTTAGACCCCTCCAGCATTTTTACTGGGTGGAGAATCTTTGCTTGCTATTTCTTCTGCAGTACAATAGCATACAGTCTAGCTGCACTCAGACCCAGCCCCCTCCTAGCAAAATTACTCTCATAAAGCACAAAGACAAACATTTCCACTAAACCCAGTAAATTCTATGTGCATTTTCCAAATTCACAACATTTTGGGTAATACCAAGTTCCTCAAAGATGTGCATGTTTTTTTCCTGCAACTCAGAGCTCTCCTCTTAAGTATTTAGCCTCTCTCCCATTACATCAGCTCTCTTTGACCTTAGTTAGTCCCACTGTTAAGTGGAACTTCTCTGCTATAAAGTATTCTGCCCTGATCCTCTCTTGTGTTCAAAGCTGCTGATTCTTCCAAAATCTCGAGTCTTTATTGCTACTTTTAAAACCTTTCCTTAGTCCTTGCAGATTTTTTCACTCTTTTGTTTTGTTTTCCAGAATTGGAGAAGCAGAGGGAATTAATTTTCTCAGCTCATTTGAATAGGTGATCATCAAAGTTAATAACCCACCACTGTTCCTTGACTGGCCGGTGTGGGACCTGGTCCTGTCAGTTCTATGATGCAGCCATTTTCTGAGCGCAGCTATAGATTAGATATAGACACACATACCCAGCAGCCACCACATTGGGCTGGTGAGAGAAATGGGTCCATCCCTGTCAGATGCAGATTTCATCATTTGCATATGTCTCATGTCTTTTATTTCCACAGTGCTATGCTATCACTACAGGACCATTCTGGAAGCACAGAAGGAGCCTTCTCAGAAGCTTTAACTGATACAGGATATGGCTGCTTACTTTATTACAGGGCAGAGAAGAATAAATTAAAAAGGACAAATTGCATGTGTTCTTCACACTTTGCATGAGCTGCCAAAAGCATGCTGGCCTGAGTACATTGATGCCTGGCTTTCTTCAAGAAAAGCGAATTAGGGACATTTTCACTAATTTGAGAAAAGTAACTCTGTAAGCAAAGCACTGCACCTCTTGATACAGCTCACCCCTGTGTCCTATAAAACTAGGGAACTTGGAGAACCAGAAACTCTGTGGCAAATAAATAAATGAAAGAATAAATGAAACTAATCTTATACAAGAATACGGAATATGACCAAACAAGAGCAATGCTGGTCACTTCTTAATTACTCTATCTGCCAAAGAGACAGGCAATATTTATGCAAATTATACAGTCTCCATGTAGCACAAAGAAGTTACTGTTCTTTCTCCCTCCCCCTAAATGAAATTTATGATCCTGCAATTTATTAAATCCTTCTCTCACATGTGGAAATAAAAAAAAAAAAAACAAAAAACCAACATACGCCAGAGGAGCACAAGAGGCACCCAGCTGAGGCAACCAGCGTGCCAAGGCTTCATGCACATACTGTGTTTAAAAAGGGGAAACAGATACATCAGAAAAAAAATCCTGATATTGTTGGTGTTCAGGTTAGGCTGCCCAGAGAGAGAACTAACATGTTCTTGAGTCACTGGTGGGGATTTTCAGTGGCTATAGCACCATTCATGGAGCTATTACCCCTCTCTGCAGTGTGAACAGCCAAGATCTCATGGCCTTCTGATTAGATCTAAGAGGAATGCTGTGGGACTGTTGTGTTTCATACCTTGGGATTACAAACTGCGCAGTGACCATCTCAGTACTGAACATTTAAATGCCTTTAGAATAAACAATAGCTCGGAAGAACTGCAGGCTTTATTATCTTCACCCTGGATTCTTTTTCAGTGTTTTAGGAAAAGAAGCATGTAAATTTGCAGACCTTGAGGTTTTCTACAGAAACTTGTGGTTAAAAAAGAAATGACAACAGACTCACACTGAAGGGATAAGGGCAGTATGGCTAACTGCAAAGAACAGCTGGCGTCTAGGCAATGTTACAGTCATTTTTCTACTTCCTTTCTGATGAACCAAAGACCTTATTTTGCTGGATACTGAATGCTGTAAAGTCCCATTAGACGTCTCAGGAAAGAACCTTAACATTTTTTTCAGGATCCATATCTGCACATATAACATGGCCTTTGAAGATGAAAGGATTTTTTTTCTTTGCCTCCATTTGTTGCTTTCTAGTTGACATGTTTCTATATGGACACTCAATCCCATATATCAGTTGTCTAATCAGAGACATAATAACATCCTCAATGATAAAACTCTGGAACATCTATGAAAGTCAGAAGTGTGAGGAACAGATCTCAGATGATGCAGATGCGGTCATTGCTGTATGATCAAGATAAGCAACATTGCAAGTTCATTTTTTGTATGCTAAATAAAATAAAAATGTCAATATTTACACATAACCTTCAAGGCTCTTACATTTGCAGCTCTTTAGTATTCAGTGCAGACCACATTTTCTTTAGTCCGTTACCAACAGCTTGGAAATTTAGTTAGAGGACGCAACCCAAATGTTCCTCCAAATGTTGTTTCCAAATGGTCATCTTGAAATATGCTGTTTAAAAGGATGAAACCTTTATGTGAAGATATAAGAGCCCATGCACAGAGCAATAAAAACTGCAGGGAAATCATCTGAAGATTAAAACCACTAATGATAAAGATATTACTGTTAGGCATAGTTTAATTTGTTGGTAACTAAATCACCAGAGGCTTTTACAGGCTGCTTGGAACCTAACTATTGTGTAATGCACATTCAACCTCTAAGTGTACAGTGACACAAACAAATAAAAGCAATCATAACAGTTGAAATGTAGTTAGAGACACAATTGAGAACATCTGTATTGTAAGCAGAAATAAATTAGAAATACAGAGGTGTTTTGTAGCTGAGAATCTGAGGGATAAAAAAATAACCTACAGCACCTGGATTAAGCGGTTATAAATAATGTATAAAGGAAAAATCTCATTACCCCCTGTGTAAACTCCCCCCCAGTGAAATATATTTTATGAATGTTGCATCACAGTAATAAATGCAGCATTTGTTTTCCCCATAAACTTTCCATTTCATGACTATAAGATAGTTTGGATTTGAAAATAATGGCCAGCGAATGTACTGTTTGCAGGATTAGTTTCCCTCAACAAGCAGCTTTGAACTGACCTTCAGTTTTTTAGGCTAAAGAGCAGAGACTTACACAGGCTTAGCAGAACTCATCTTTGCGCCGACAAAGCTGTTGCAGATCTGCACTCGACTTGCAACAGAACAATACTGTATAAACAAATCCAATAGCACCACTAGAGAGCATTTAGACTCTGAGCCTTGAATGTTGTAATTGCCTGATATCATGGAAGATTTTATGAGATTATGCTAGATAAAGGCTGTATATGAATGTGGAAAGTTTTCCCTTGTAAAAAGCTAGGTTTTACAGCACAATGCTTTGCACTGCAGGATACTCAGCTTCTACTAACGTTAAAAAGAGCAAATCCTGTAGAGAAACTAGAATGCTTCAAGTTTCCAGTTCCTCTTTACAAATGTTCACAGTTCTGTGTAAAGACACCAGGATAGATTCCTCTCTTATGTTAGTTTTACACTAAGATAGCTTTGCTGAAGCACTCAACAGATTAGTTCTAGATTTAAGCGGTGTATTACTGTCAAACTGCACCACTGGCTTTCCTACTGAAGATACCTTGATTTCCCACACATGAAAAGGGGTCAGCTGCCTGATGATCCAGGGCAGCAATCACTGATCCCCTTGGGAGATGCACTGAATCATCCGTACACCTGATACACAATCACCAAGCCACAGCGCGGTGAAATGGGGGTAAGGATGGTATGGAGAGCTACAAAGGAAGTCAGTATCTAGAGTCAGATTGAAACCTAACAGATTGTAAATTAAAAGGATAAGAACTTCCCACCGGCTGAGAGAGATAAAATGTCACAAACATAAAAACATTATGGAGTTAGGTTTGAGGCTGGAGTGCTTTCCCTTTTATGATTAATGATTGGGCTCAATCGGGATGGGAAACGCAAAGTAAAGTTCCTCTTGAACTAGCTTAAAAATGCCACAGCTAAAGAAAAAAATACAGTAACATCAATTTGAAAAAAATAACAAAACAAAAAACCATCTACTAAAATGTAAAGGTCAGGAAGGATTTGGGTGTTTTTTAATGCTGTCTTGAAGAAATTTCATAAAGGTTAAGATGTCATGTAGTTTCAGAGTTATGGGCACTGGAGGGGGGTCCTTGAGTGCCAGCTATTCCTCGGGCCACTCGGTGACTGTGAGCTGCAGTGACAGTGGACAGTGGGAGGCTGGAGGATCAGAAGCTATCCCTGCCACTGGGGAAAACTGTGCCTTGCTCCCAAAAGAACAAAGAGCTGTGTGGATATTTCAGCATCTGAGATTCAGGCAGTGTGTGTAACACACCAAAACATGCCCTAGTAACACTACAGTGGTCTAATTTTAATTACCCAGTGTGCACATACGCAGCGTTCAGCCTCCTCAACCCAGTGTGCTGTGCCCAGGAGGAGCAGAGGGTGTCACTCAGAGCTGATCCAGCTCCTGGTGGCAGCCCCCTGCGCTGTGTGATGGCTCAGAGCAACACACTGACCCCTTGTGCTTCCTCCACCCCCGAGCACATGGCTGAGCAGAGCAGAGAGGAGTCTCAGTGCTTCTTTTATAGGTCTTACAGATGAGACCAGGGAAACCAGCACAACTGAAGAAGGCTCTGAAGGATGATCCCATTCGCTTGTGCTCTGCCCTCTGTGAGATCCATTATCCCACTAGCACTGACCAGGTCCTTGGTCCTCCTTTAATCAAAACCCATGTTCATTACCAATAAGTTATACTTTTCCAACTGGGGATTTAATTAATAAAATGATAATAAGTTGTTCAGCCGATATCCTCCCTTCTGGTCTCATTCGCCTCCTTTGCCACCCCTACCTGCTGCATGCGTCCAGAGTGAGGCACCACACGCCCTGTTCCCAGCCCTCTCTGGCTGCTCTCACTGCTCGCCAGGAGGGGAACAGGTGAAAAACTCAGGTCTGTTTCCATGAGGATCCATTGGGCTCTGAGATCCTGCTTAAAAACTTCCTGCTGAAGAGGAAGCAATACACCAAGGAAGGACAAGACAAGACATAGCCTCAGAAACCTGGATTGCCAGTTCTGGGGTGGGAAGAAGAGACGAGCAGCTCAATGTTGATTACCAGTTGCAGGATGAAAAGCCCAATGTTGGTTTCCCAGCTCTTCTTCTGTTGGGCAGCAGGGTACTGCTTGACCACATCTCTGAGCACTTGTCTTTGTAATACTGAAGTGTGTCATGCAAAATTACAGCTCTGTAAAAATAGTTACTAAAATAATAAATAATAATGCCACCAAAACTTCCCATAGGGCTGAATTTGTTTCCTTGGTTTATGTAACAGCTTGGTTCCTCAAAATCATCATCCAAAAGTTGCTATTTTTTCTGCTAGTGTACTACATGCAATTATTTCTCTGAAAAGCTGAAATGCTCTGCGTTAAGTAGTAAAATAAAGCATTAACATATCAAGTTTTAGCAACAGCAGTGAAAATAATTATTCTTTGTAGAAAATAAATGCATCTTTATCATTCTTGGAGAAAACTGAAAAATTGTGTAACTGAAATCATTTCTCAGTGAACAAAGCCTTTTTTTTTTCTTATGAGATGTTCACTGTGTGCACCTGGGTGGTAAAAGACAGAAAACCACGGCTTGTGCCCACACACAAAGGGGCTCACAGTATCACCCCATCATCCTTAGTCTCCAAGCACTCACTGTGCATCCTCCCAGGCTCTGGGCCACCAGCTCACACAAACTGTAGTTTTATTTATAGTTTTCATCAATAAAGAACTGTATTTGAACACATTTGTCTTCCATCCTTCCTTTCTCTCCTCCTGTTACTGACACAGATATATACATGTGCATTATGTGTGCACACATATCCAAAACCTTCACCCCTACTTTGTTCATGAGTTTAGTGATAAAACGATGCTGAAAAACATTATTGGGGCATATTTTTTTTTTATCTGAAACTGGCTAGAATTTTCTGTAGCAGCTGCACTCTAGATTTTAATTAAATAATACCAGTTGCGCCTTATTTAACTAAGCCAGCACATCTTCCTTATGTTCGGGTATATTAATTTCATTC